CCCGCCGTCGCCTCTGCGTGTCAGGTGCCGTGAGAAGCGCGGGAGGGGAGGCTGCGAGGAGCGCCCAGGGATGTGACTGGAGCCGACTTTCCAGAAGCGGCGCACGCAAGGCACAGCTCCGCACGCAAGGGGGAGGCGACAGCAGAGGAAACTTTTCAACCCGATAAAATTCTCAGGCAGGCGGAGGGTTGCCTCCTCCTGTCCCCGCCCCGCTCGGGTCCCTCCCCGTCTCCCGCCTCGGGTATGCGCCCCATCCTGGCTCCCTGTCCGGCGCCAACCGCTTCGGAGCGGCCAGGGCGACCCGGCGCCCTCCAGCGGGCGGCGCCACCTGGAGTCGTTTCTACGCGGGAAGTCTCAGGGCCAGCTGCGCCCCGGGAGTGCGGGCCTTTGTGTGCCAGGGACTGTCGGGGACGCGGGGCGGGGCAGCGGCTTCTTTCAGGGATTCCTGATCTCGCCGCGTGGAAAGAACTTGGAGCGTCAAAGGACTCAACTGAGGGGCCAATTCGTTTGCAAGAACTTAAGATAAATAAAATAAAAAACCAGGGACGCTGCAAGGCACACCGGCACGACAACCTGACCTTCTTCGTTTCCAAACAGGTTTCCTTTCCCGGCTCTGGCGCCCAAGGCCCGTGAGCCGGTTTCTTTCGGGAAACGAGGCTCAAGTCCCGAAGAGGGCGTGGAGATCGTGCGCTCGGGGCGTGGGGCGCGCTCCCAAGGAGAGCGCAGCGGCACGCGCAGGTTCTGGGGTAAACGTGCGACCTCGACTGGGACTAACTGCGACTGACAGCGGTTATCCGACCAACGAAAAGTGTGCGCCGCCTCTTCCAATAAAGCCTCGGGCTGCAGTTTAAGGCCGTCGGGGCGCGCCACGGCCACCTCGCGGGACCACCCGCGCGCCGGGACCGGAGTTGGAGCCGTGTGGACGGTGCCGGCGCGCCCCGCCCCTCCCCACAAGCCCCGCCCCCGCAGGTCCGGCTCTTCCTCCCTTTACATAGTCCTTAAAACCCAGAGAGGCGGGATGGCGCGGTTGACTCTCCGGAGTGTGTGCAGATACCTCTGCCACGCCAGCTGTGAGAGCCACGCGGCAGGCATAGGAACTGACTCCACTCATCGACCCCCAGTCTCAATCCTAACTCTCTGAGAAAACCCGAATTTGCCAGAGCTCCAGGTACAGCGGGGCTGGGCAAAGGTGGCACTTTTCTCCGTCCCCATCCCAACCCAAGCGCTCCTGGCTCTGACGACGCCAAGAAACTCCAGAGTGGGTACTAAAGTTCCCCGAGCGGGCAGCAGGTGTCCAGGGCTGGCCTCCAGGTTCCCGGAGACTCTCGGGTTGACATCTTGTCCTCGGCAAAGTCCCCACCCCTTCTCCGAGCCTGCAGTCCGAGCCACTGGAAACCGCACTTCCCCGCAGGTCAGTCTGTCCGCGGAGTCGCCTTCCCGCGGCCTCTACAGATGGGTTCTTGTAAGTCGGGAGCGGGGTGGTAGGCACTTTAAAGGAAACCAAGCGCCACCGCCCCAATGCCCGCAGCGTTGTCTCCAAATTGCAGGAACCGTTACCCGGCAGGGAGTGGGGGCTGGCGGTGGGTCGCAGAGAGGCGGGAACACGCCCCTTGCTTTCTCCATGGGAGACTGGGCTGGGAATGGGAAGGGGCGACTTTAGCCACTTTTCCAGAGAGCCAGGTCTGACCTGACCTACGCACGCATGGCCTCGTCTCCACCCAACGGTGCACAGTAGCCTGGGGCTGGGGTAGCGGCGTGGGGCTCCCACTCCTTTTTCTGCACACCCGAGTGCCACGCCTTCGCCTTTCTGTTCCCAGCATGGCCACGAGCCTCAGCCCAGACGATCCTCGGCCGCTAAGTCCGCTGTCCACTCAGCAGACCACGCTCCTGCTACTCCTCTCGGTGCTGGCCGCCGTGCACATGGGCCAGTGGCTGCTCAGGCAGCGGCGGAGGCAACGGGGATCCGCGCCCCCGGGCCCCTTCCAGTGGCCGCTGATCGGAAACGCGGCGGCGGTGGGCCAGGCTGCGCACCTCTCGTTCGCGCGCCTGGCGCGGCGCTACGGCGACGTCTTCCAGATCCGCCTGGGCAACTGCCCGGTGGTGGTGCTAAACGGCGAGCGCGCCATTCACCAGGCCCTGGTGCAGCAGAGCACCGCCTTTGCCGACCGGCCGCCCTTTGCCTCCTTCCGCGTGGTGTCCGGCGGCCGCAGCCTGGCTTTCAGCCCGTACTCGGAGCACTGGAAGGTGCAGCGGCGCGCGGCGCATGGCACGATGCGCGCCTTTTCCACGCGCCAGCCGCGTAGCCGCCGCGTCCTCGAGGGCCACTTGGTGGGCGAGGCGCGCGAGCTGGTGGCGCTGCTGGTGCGCGGCAGCGCAGGCGGCGCCTTCCTCGACCCAAGGCCGCTGACCGTCGTGGCCGTGGCCAACATCATGTGCGCTGTGTGCTTCGGCTGCCGCTACAGCCACGACGACGCCGAGTTCCGCGAGCTGCTCAGCCACAACGAGGAGTTCGGGCGCACGGTGGGCGCGGGCAGCCTGGTGGACGTGCTGCCCTGGCTGCACCACTTCCCCAACCCGGTGCGCACCGCCTTCCGCGAGTTCGAGCAGCTGAACCGCAACTTCAGCAACTTCGTCCTCGACAAGTTCCTGAGGCACCGAGAAAGCCTCCGGCCCGGGGCCGCCCCGCGCGACATGATGGACGCCTTCATCCTCTCCGCGGGAAAGAAGGCGGCCGGGGACTCGGGCTACGGTGGCGCGCAGCTGGACCTGGACAACGTGCCGGCCACTGTCACCGACATCTTCGGCGCCAGCCAGGACACCCTCTCCACCGCGCTGCAGTGGGTGCTCCTCCTTTTCAGCAGGTAAAGCCTCCAGGAGGCGTGGGTCGGGCCTTCCTTTTCTCTGAAAAAGCGGAGTGGGGCTAGAATACACTGAGGTCACAAACAGCGCGCAGGGTTTGGGTTTCGCTCCAGGTCCGGGACCTCAAAACAGATCGCGTCCAGAGAGCGACTCCCAGGGACGCACAGTGCGAGCCGAGACGCGCGCGCTGACACCCCGCTCCGCGGTGCCCGGGCCTCTCGGCATCTCGGATGTCGTCTCTACCCTCCCCTCCCCGACTGGAGAGTAGGGACAAATTTGTGAGAACCCCCCTGGGAAATACAAAATTTTAAAAGTGCCCACAGATCAACTCTGATGTCTCTCTCCCTGGCGTAGTAGAAGCAAAATTGGAACGATTCCGAAAGAAAGGGTAACGCAGTAAATATGTTAAATAAACAGCCGCCTCATCGGCTCGGCTAGTCAAACGCTGCCTAGCCCCGGCGTTAAGAGCGAGCCGCCCGTCGGGCTTTGTCCCCGGGCAAAGGAAGCCCGAGGAGGCCGGCTCAGCGGACGCGGAACCCTCTCCAAAGCGCACAGGAGCTTTAGGAAGGCGGCCAGAAACCAGTGGGCAGTGCTGGGTTTATGAAATCGCTGCGCTGAGCTAGGAGGAAAAGTGTCAGGGTAAAGAACAGAAGACGTCACTTTTACCGAGTGCAGCGCAGCATCTAGAAAGGCATATCGGGTATCCAGGAGGCGCCTGCGGACCTCGCTGGTCCCTGCGCCCGGCTGCCTGCCTCCCCCCCCCCCCCCCCCCCCCCCCCCCC